ACGCTACTTCCCACATGCCTCAGCAGCTTTCTGTGCTCGATAAAATTTTCCAGTTTCGCGTGGTGTTATTTCGGTCCTAGTTGTGAAAGATATTTCTCAAAATTCCTACGTGTAAAATCCTATGTTTTTAACTCATTACGGATGGTCTGTCCAATGAGATCTTTTTATGCATAGGACAATATTTTTAATCAAAATTACGCACATGAAATAATTAGAACGTTTCGAGTCTCATCTACTCATTCTAAATCATTGCCGAAAAAAATTAAGGAATTAAAATAAAAGTCCTCCCCAGTGGAGTCGCCAAAAACTGTAGGGAATAATTTCAAGCGATAAACCCCTAGCTTGAACCCCACTATGATCATACACTAAATACGGTGGCGTCCAAAAGGAAATAAGATAGAGCAAAAGAGTCGCCAACAAGTTTTAGGAACTTGTAAACTGTTCATAGGACGAAGGTTACACACCTTAACGATCCAGGAGATGGTTAACTCCATAAGGTCTAGAACCAAATAAGGGTTTGGGGATGAAGGTAGAAATCCAACTTAAAAGAGATTGAACCTGCCCTAATAATAGGCCTCCACTTTATTCTGATCGTATTCATGTGCGATTTCTGACTAACATGCAATCAATAGGATTAATCCTTAACCTGTTTAATCTATGTTGGTTGAATATTAATGCACAAACAAAACTATTATTTGCGATCACTTGAACTATTATTAAGCATGATTACAAGTACCAATTCCCTTTAAACATGCAATAAAAGGTGTGATCAAGCGATAAATATCAAGCAAAAAAATAATCAATATCATGATAAAGAATAACAATAATTATCATAATAACAATCATATTAATCATAATAATAATCATTTTAATATTAAAGCGTAATAATAGCAAGATCCTAGGCATGATACTAACAAGATTAATAACAAATCTTAGCATGTCACTAAGCAATAAAAATCAAATCTTTAACCCCTAATGATACTAACATGAATAAATATTAGGAAGAACATAGGAAGCATCGTAACAATCATATTTAATAAGAAATTTACCCTAGACATGATACTAGGAATCATAATGACAATCTAAACATGATTTCTACATCATAAATCAGTTAAAATCATTAAAGCACTTACTTTGATACCTCGTACCTCTTTCTAATTACAAAATACACACGTTTGCAACTTCAAGGAAAATAATAAACAAAACAATTAAATTAAATAATTGAAATAGATATTTGGGGCCAAAACCTCAGAAATTAAACCTTTCACGTCTAGGGCGAAGGCAACTTTGAATATGGCTAGGTGTTTCTAGATCTTGTGAATGGGGAATGTTGTATGTAAAAACATGGTTTAGAAAAAGAAAGAAAGAAAGAGATGAATGAATTAAGAGAAAATTAGAGAATTAATGATTGCGAATGAAAACTGATTGTTGATGAGAATTCGTGAGAATTGGTGAATGAAAACGGAGTTTTTAATAGGTTATTTATAGAGTCTGACGCACAAAAAACTGTGCTGGCGCAAACCCTGGCAAACTAGCGCTAGACACCAACACTAGCGCCAGGCGCCAATGGCTAGCGCTAGGCGCCAATGCCTAGAGTCAGGCGCTAAGCCTGGTTTTAACACGTTTTCGAAAATCAGATAAGTTTGTCGTACTGAAGGATAAAATCATATAATTTCCTCGAAAATGCTATTTGATTTTGATTAAAACTCTGAAAAGTAAACAAAAGTCAATTTATCAATGTTAATTGAATTAGGAATGAAAAGAACCTTCTAGAAGAATCTAGAAAAATAAAACCATTACTAATTTCTTTAGGAATGATAAATCATATTAGGCCCTCCCCTAGATCATTGGGCCGTACATAAGGCTCAAACTGGGCCCAGTTTATTTAATTGGCCATAACTTCCTCAATATTCATCGGAATTGGGCTTATAATATATCATTGGAAAGGTCTTTGCAATCCCCATCCAACTACGCTACTATTGGACCCATATAATGGACCAACCAAATTGTATTGGCTGTTTTCTTAAAATAAGTTTTCAAAAATAGAGAGAAGAGAAAAGAAATTAAAACTTTCCGCAACACTAGACTTTCCACACTTTCGCTTCATTCGATTGTGATTCGACGTGAAAGGTACTGATCACTGGGTTTGGTTTTGGGGAGACACAAATGGGTGTCTACAGGAAGCATGAAAAACAACAGAAAATACACCAATTTGAAGATCAAAATAATTTCTAAGTTTTGATTCTATAAATCAATCACAAAGAATTAGATCGAATAAATCGATTCAAAAGTATAAAAATTGCTTAAAAAGAATGAGAAGAAGAACAGGTACCATTTTCGCAGAAGATGGAAGCAACGGTTGAACGAGGAAGAAGAGGAGAAAGAAGTAAGTGTTAGGAGGGTAAGAGAGCGGAGAAGAAACAAATCTCGCGCTCTCCAATTTTCCTTGAAATTATCGAACTCCAATCGCCGTTTTAACCGTCTTTTTATATCTCATTCAACACTAATTAAGTCTTTAGAATGCATCAAATCTTCAAGATCCAACAAAATACATTAAAAAAATTCACAAAATCCCAAATGTAAGATAAAAAAAATTGAAACCCAAATAGATGATTAATGTAGAGATCATAGAACAAAGAAAAAGATAAGAAAAATGAAGAAAATCGCTTGAATTTCTTAGTAGATTCGGAGTGAGCAGATTGAGAGAGGCGAGAGAGAGGGGAGTGAATTCAAAGAAAGATGAATGACGGCTATGTATTGAAACCCTAATACTTCAGTGTAATGGACTTACTCCTTTCAGCAAATTCCGCCCCATCAAAAGTCTATCTGTACCGGGCAATATATTGTCGTCACAATTAAATAATTATTCGTAATGGGCAAAATATTTCCCGTTACAATTAAATGGTTATTCGTAACAGGCATTATTTTGACCGCTACAAATAGTTGTTAGTTTTATCAATCAATTGATCTTTTTTTTTTTCTTCTCGTAACAGATTTAATTATGCCCTTAACAAATGAGATGTTATGAGTGAGATTTTTTTCCACTAGTGTACATAGTGCTCTACCATTTGAGCTAATATGTTTAATTTTTTTTGACACAAAGTAAACAAGCAAATTTATCATGGAAGACTTGAAATGTAAAGAACCACTACATCCGATAAACCATCGAGCACCTCTACGGTCCACACTCTCATCTCAACATAACATTTACTCAAATGTGTTAAGACGTGAGCCTCCTCATTTCTCTCATTTGTTGCTCTTCAGATGATAAAATAGTTTAGCATTATCCGTCTCCAATATAATTCTATTAAGAACTGCTTCAGTTTCGATTTGTAAAGCATTCCTAGGAGCTAGCGCCTCACTAACATCAATTGCAAATTTGCCCTGCAACCTGCAACAAGTAGCCAGCTAAACATCGCCTGTAGTGTCACGAGTAACACCCCCAAACAAAATGAAATATCCTCAAACTAGGAAGCATCTGTATTTAACTTGAACACCCCAATTTCAAGAGGTTTCCATCACAGTATAGCAGCTATATGAGCATATAACATGCGACCATGTTGAATAATAGCTTTCTCATGCTCACCAATTATGCCCATAGCTCACTGTATTTTATCTTAAGTAGCCATATCTTTCTTACATAAGAGAAGCCCAAAGATACTTCCAAGCCTTCAAATTACAAATATTGGATGAAGAGGCAACTATATATTAGCAATTTTCAAATATATTATCTCAAATAACACTTGAACTAATAGGATGTATTACACTAGCACTTGTATTAAAATTCTAAAGCATAATCGATAATCCAACTATGTTTACTTTCATTAACTTATGAGTCAACTGGGGTTTTTTTTTTGTTAACTTTCAATCTACATTTTAATCAAGAGAAAAACAACTTTTAAGACTAATTGATTTACTTTTAACTAACTTCTATCTACTTTTAGAAATAGAAAATTACAAGAAGAAATAATCATTTATAATCAACATAAGATCCTATGAAAGTCTAACTGGCTAATACAAGAGGGGGGGTGAATTGTATTTGAGGTGAAATCTAAAAACTTTTTGCGGAATTTAACTAAATGAAATAGTGACGAGAGAAGATATAGGCTTTTCTAAATTTCCACTAAGTAATCAAACTCTTTACAAGTGAAGATTCAAACCCGTTAACAAGTTCCACAAATTAGGAACTTGTTCCCAACTCTCACAGAAGACTTCAGCAACGAAGCTTCCTTGACCTCACTTTACAAACTCACAATCCCAACCCCTAAGTACTTGAATACAATCTGTGATTACAAATACCTATTGCACTCAAGAATATATGAAGGAAAATAACTCTCTTTATGTTATTAGATGGCTACTGGAATTTTTATGCTCAAGAGTTATGTTTTTCTGAGATAGTTTGCATGAGTATTTATAGAGAAGGCTTAGTCATTAACCTCCACCATAATCACGTCCACATGTCAACAACCCACTAACAACTTGTGGAGTTATCTTGACAGATTGTGATCATGAAGAGGTTTCCTAGCCTTATCTAATTAAACCACTATCCTAACAACTTGATAACCATTAGCCGTATAAAAGATTTTCTCACAGAAAAACCACTTGCTAACTTTATCAAATATTTATTTAAAAGATTATCAAAAGTTTGTTTAAAAAGATTTTATTTGAAAAGATAAATTTATTATTTATTAAAACAACTAGATAATTATCTTCGATAATTATCTTTATTAAAACTTTTACAAATTATCTTTTCTTTAAGAAATTATCTTTTAAAACTAACTTTTATTCCAGTAGTCTTTAACATAAGTCATTGAGTTCCTTTCCGACTTTATATTATTGAGTGCTCACAATTAAAACTAGAACGTGAGATTTGCACGAGGCTTTTTAAAGAATGCTACTCCGCATCCAAGTTCCTACTCCGGAACGAACTTTGCTTGAACCCTTTATTCACCAAAGACTCAAAACATTCATTAGTCGAGTTTGTCAATTTGTCCATCAAAATCAAAAGGCTCAACAAATTCCCCCTTTTTGATGATGACAAACATTGACAAACTTAAGTAAATAAAATCATCCAGGCATGCAACAGAAATTTAAAGTAAGACATGAAAACAAAAAAAACAGAGTAATTAAAGAACTTAAAAAAAAGCTAAAAAGTATTTATTTTAAAAAGACTGAGCAAAAGAGAAAAAAATTAACAAAGACTTTAAAATCTTAGAAAAAGTTTAAAAACTTAGATTACTAGGACTTTATTAACTTAGAAAAGTTTGTACCTTCGATGTGTGAGTTCCTTGGTAAACACTTTAGCCGCCATGAAGTTTGTCTTTTCCCCCTTTTGGCATTATCAAAAGATTGAAAAAAAACATTTTGCTATACTCCCACTAGACTACGTAGGGAATAGTGAGCTCAAATAATGCAAGGCAAAAATAAGTTAGGTACCAAATTATCAGCAAACACACACAATCATATGAAAAATACGAGCCAAGTTCCGATTTAGGAAATAGAAGAGGAACATAGAGAATGTAGCAAAGGATAAAGGCGTACAAACCAAAGTTCAGAGAGATTAAACAAAACCAAAATAAAATTGTTCAACATATGAAATTAGAATAAGTGCAATCAAGGATTTAAGAGGCTGCATTGGTAGGATCAAGGGTTGGATTTGTGGGATCAATAGAGTCTTCCTCGACTTCCTCAAAGGCTACTCTGTTGATAGTTTCCAAGATCTCCTTGTTGCCTTCACTAAACTTGCCTTCAGCCTGTGCAAGCTTTGCCTCTACGCCTGCAAATCCGGTTGCTTGAGAATCTGCCAGAGCCTGCACCTGGCCTTTAAGAGAAAGCAGTTCCGAGGCCATTTCCTCCAGTTTCTTGCTCACCAGAGTAGTCAACTTCTCCATATCTGCTTGAACCTGTTGAAAATCATAAACAGACACACGAGTTCCAGAGAAAGCAGCAAAGCCAGTAGGCTGAAATGGAGGAGGAGAAGGTGAATGAGAAGGCTGCCTAGTAGGTGAGACAGGAATAGAAGAGGGTTCAGTGGAAGAGGGAACTTGGGTAGGTTTGAAGGTGGAATCAGATTTGTCTGAGGAGCTGATGGTTTCTACAGTCACAGGGTGTGTAGTAGAAAGGACAGGCTTGACCACATTCCTCTTACTCCTTCTAAGGCCCCCTGTAAACACAGGAATGACAGGTGGTCCAGCTGTGCTCTCAGAGTCTGTGGTATGTTCCCTCTCACTTTGATCAGTTCCCTGCCCCTCATGTAAGTCAGATTGTCGAGCTTCCCCCTCAGAAACTTCCATATGTTCCCCCTCAGAATCTTCCTGTTTTTCTCCTTGCACATCTCCCTCAAGTATTTTTTCTTTGTTTTTCTCTCCGTTAGAACTTTTTTCTTCTTCCTTATCTCCCTCAGAATCACTGGAGGTGGTAGCACCCTCACTAGCCTCCTCACTACCCTGGTCACTGCTTGCATCACATTCTTCCTTAGCTTCTTTCCCTTTCCCTTTCTTTTTCTCCCCTCCTTTCCGAGGCACAAAACATACTTTGCCATTTGTAAGCCTAAGACTCAGTCTAAGTAATGATTGTTCAGAGAGGATATTATCGGGTTTGAGATATGTTGGGGATTCACATTCAACATCAATACCAAAAGATTTGAACAACACAGTAAGGAAAGAGCCATATGGAATTGTGGTCTTTTGAGCATAAAAATTCAAGTGTTCAATCATTAGAGCAGGGAAATTAATCTGTATTTTGCATGCAAGACAGAATATGAGGGAGGCATCCAAGAGTGATACGGTACTCCGTTTTTGTAAACGGGGTACTATACCCTTCCAGGTGAAGGTAAACAGTAGCTTATGAAGGGGTGTTAGGGCATGATGGTGAGTAGTTTTCACTTTCGGATTTCCTCCAATAAATTGAAGGATTTTGCATTCATCATTATGGCCAATATTTACAGATTGTTTGTGCTTTAAATAAGAACAATAGCCTTTAACAGGAACTTGAAATAGATTTCCAAGATAATTGGCATCAATCGAAATTGGAATATCATTAACTACGGCCGAGCACACACCATTATCACATTGAAAGGTATTTTTGAACTCATAAATAAGTTTAGGATAAACAGGGTAATGAGAACAATTCTGGAACAAGTGAGTCCATTTTTGATAATCAATTAAAGAAGTAAATTCAGTGAACTTACTCGCCACACACCAATCATAGTTGATGTGATATCCGAGAGTGTAATTCCATGATGGGAATTTGGTGGTTGCGCGCCGTTTCCTGTCGCCGCCCTTCACAACCTTAGCCTTCCTCTTTGGCTGAGCAGATGGATGCACCATCGCAATTGGCACCGGTTGTGGAGACCCCGTGTTTGAGGAGGGTTTGGATGGTGGTGATCGGGTTTTTGGGGTGGTGTTTCGGTTGGTTTTCATGGTGTTGAAGGTAAAATGAAGGGAAGGAGAAGATGAATAGTGTGAATAGGAAGGAGAGAGAGTGAGGCTGGTTATGGGAGTTTATGGGGAGTTTAATTGATTTGATAGGTGAAGGTGGAGTGAAAAGAAGAAGAAGAGTTTAATTGGGAGGAGTGAGAAAGAAAAATGACGGTTTAAAAGGTGAGGTAGTGGAGTAGTTTTAGAGGTAGTAGGATTTAATTTGGTGAAATAATTGCACTCATCTAATTCAATGTTGATAAAATAAAATCGTAAGTTAAGGAGTTGATATACATGCTTCTTATCTTACGTAACAAATAAAAGCAGAACTGAACAAAGGAAAATAAGGAAGAAAAAAAAAGATAAAAATATGAATAAAAGATAAGAATAAAAGATAAAAAAAATAAGGAAGGCAAAAAAGATAATAATAGGAAGGAAAACAAATTAACAATATAAAAAAATGGTAAGTGCAAATGGATTGTAAATTATGATGATAATTTACGTGATCATAATACAGAGAATAAAGAATGATGAAAAGGGAACTTGAAACAACATGGCTCAATATTTTTAACATATTAAAAGTATGTATAAGTGACTTTTCAATACTTCACAAATCTTTTCCCTGGGTAATTTCAGCTGTGTTATGCACACAAGATTGAGCATAGCATTGTTAGTTACATCCGATTTTACCTTAGGGGTTCCAAACAAAAATCACTTTAGCCGTAGCATCCCCAATTCCACACGCATCTTTTCAAACTTGTCTCTGCTTAAAGGCTTAGTTAATATATCAGCAATTTGACATTCAGTAGAAATAAAATCTAGCCTAATTAAGCCCTTTTTCAAGAAAGTCATAAACATATCAAAAGTTTCATCTTTACTATGTAAGAATATGACCCATGTAAATCTAGAATAATCATCCACAAGAACTAAGACATATATTTTTCCACTTCTACTTTGAATTCTAACGGGGCCACACAAATCCATATGAATGAGTTCCAATGGTTTTGTGGTGCTTACCATTTTCTTTGATTTAAATGATGATCGAACATGCTTTCCTTTGATGCAAGCTTCACAAATTTTGTCATTTAGGAATTTGATAGAAGGTAATCCGATTACCAAGTCCTTTGACCTTAATTTGTCAAGCAATGAAAGACTAACATGTCCAAAACGTCTATGCCATAGAAGTGGATCATCCTCAATAACACTTAAACAGGATAGATTGTATTTTGGAACTTTGTTAAGATCCACGGTATACGTGTTCCCTTTACGAGTTCCTTCCAAAACGATTTTTCCAGTGTTATTGTTGATGATTTTGCATTTTTCAGAAGAAAAGCTTACAGAGTTTCCTTTATCACAAAGCTGAGATATACTGAGTAGATTATGCTTCAAACCCTCGAAAAAATACATTGTCAATTGCATGGGAACTTGACCTTCCTACTTTGCCAACAGCAACAATGTTGCCTTTCTTATTGTCTCCAAAGGTCACTGTTCCCCCTGTATAGGCCGTCAGTGAGAGAAATCTGGATTCATCTCCTGTCATGTGCTTAGAACAACCGCTATCGAGGTACCACTGGTTGTTCCCCCTCACTGCGACCTGCAAAAGAAATTAAGGGTTAGTAGCAGGAACCCTTTCATTCATGGGTTCCTGTGTTGACACATTTAAATCAGATTTCTTCTGCCAAACATAGTTCACATTCTTATTGTACAGATTTGCTTTCTTAGTACATTCTTCACTGCGATGTTCCTTTTTACCACAAAAAGAACAAACGGTCTCACTAGGTAAGTTCACATATTTCTTTTTCTTTCCAGTGGACTTCTTCTTATGAACATAGCCTAGACCTTCTGTTCTTTTTGTCTGAGCTTCCTTTACCCACTTGGGAACACCCGTGCTTGCTGTATTTTTACTTTTTCTTGCAATTTCTAGGTCCTTTTCTAGTTTCTCATTTTTATCATTGGTTTCCTTTATCTCTTTCTTAACATGCTCTAGTTCATTATTAAACATGATTAAAGGAACTTCAGTAGACCTGCAAGAATCAATGTTAGTACACAACATTTTATATTGAGTCAATTCAATATTCAGCATGATATTCTCACTCTTGACTCTTTCAAGGGATTCTTTTAGCATAATATTTTTATCTAACAATTCAAAGAATCTGCCTTGAACATCATTTCTTAAGCTATTCAGATACTTAACATGATCTCTACAAATTCCAGTTGCCTTTTCGGCTTGCCTTAGTTTTGCACATAATTCTTTATATTCATCTAAGGTTTCTAACAATAAAGAGATTAATTTATCCTTTGAGAGAGATTTCAAATAACTAGGTTGAATGACTACCTCATCATCATGCTTTGCCATTAGACAGAGATTGGCTACTTCATCGTCTGTGTGTTCCTGTTCCTCTTCTTCGGAACTTGATTCTCCCCACGTGGAAATCATTGCTTTCCTGAAATTTGTTTTAGAAAAGTTAGGCTTGGAATTTCTGCTTTGATCAGCTTCTTTTCCCTTGCCTTTCTCAGATTCCCATAATGGACACTCTTTGATGAAGTGGTTGGTGCTTCCACATTTGTGACAAGAAGACTTGGCTTTGGGTTCCTGATTTCTTTTACTGTATCCTTTCTTCTTGTCTAAAAACTTGTTGTTACGGTAGAATTTTTTCAGCCTTCTCACCAACATTGCAGCTTCTTCTTCATCGATGTCAGACTTCTCTTCGGATTCTTCATTAGCTCTTAATGCTAGCCCTTGACTTTTGACAGTCTCCTGAGTCCGATTGTTCGACTGGATCTCGTGAGTAATGAGGGAACCCGCAAGCTGTTCCAGATTGAACTTGGTGAAGTCTTTTGATTCCTGCACCGCTGCAACCTTTGCTCTCCATCTGTCATTGTCTGGAAGACTTCTTAAGACTTTTCTGACCTGCTCATCTATAGGAATTATCTTACCAAGACACGTTAGTTCGTTAGTAATACTTTTAAATCGAGTAAACATGTCTTTAATGGATTCTTTGTTTCCCATTTCAAAGCGCTCATACTGAGATAAAAGAATATCTATTTTGGAACGTTTAACATCTGACGTTCCTTCATGTGTAACTTCCAGAAGATCCCAAATTTCCTTTGCGGATTTGCACCCTTTGACACGAGTATGTTCATCGGGTCCAAGTCCCCAAATTAGAAACTTTTTGGCAGTAGCATTCATTTCTAATTTTTCGAAATCAGTTTTTTCATATTCATCCATAGGTTTAGGGATTACCTCATTGTTAGCATTCGTTTTCGTAATTTCGTAATCTCCTACTTGTATAATCCGCCATACCTGATAATTCTCTGCTTGGATGAAGATTTCCATCTTATCCTTCCAATAAGGATAATATTTGCCGTTGAAGTATGGAGGCCTTTGAATGGATGTACTCCCGAATTCCTTTTCCTCTGTGTAAGCCATTTTCCCAGGAACTTACTCAACAGGGTTGCCTGCGTGCTCTGAGTTCCCGCTCTGATACCAACTGAAAGTCTAACTGGCTAATACAAGAGGGGGGGTGAATTGTATTTGAGGTGAAATCTAAAAACTTTTTGCGGAATTTAACTAAATGAAATAGTGACGAGAGAAGATATAGGCTTTTCTAAATTTCCACTAAGTAATCAAACTCTTTACAAGTGAAGATTCAAACCCGTTAACAAGTTCCACAAATTAGGAACTTGTTCCCAACTCTCACAGAAGACTTCAGCAACGAAGCTTCCTTGACCTCACTTTACAAACTCACAATCCCAACCCCTAAGTACTTGAATACAATCTGTGATTACAAATACCTATTGCACTCAAGAATATATGAAGGAAAATAACTCTCTTTATGTTATTAGATGGCTACTGGAATTTTTATGCTCAAGAGTTATGTTTTTCTGAGATAGTTTGCATGAGTATTTATAGAGAAGGCTTAGTCATTAACCTCCACCATAATCACGTCCACATGTCAACAACCCACTAACAACTTGTGGAGTTATCTTGACAGATTGTGATCATGAAGAGGTTTCCTAGCCTTATCTAATTAAACCACTATCCTAACAACTTGATAACCATTAGCCGTATAAAAGATTTTCTCACAGAAAAACCACTTGCTAACTTTATCAAATATTTATTTAAAAGATTATCAAAAGTTTGTTTAAAAAGATTTTATTTGAAAAGATAAATTTATTATTTATTAAAACAACTAGATAATTATCTTCGATAATTATCTTTATTAAAACTTTTACAAATTATCTTTTCTTTAAGAAATTATCTTTTAAAACTAACTTTTATTCCAGTAGTCTTTAATATAAGTCATTGAGTTCCTTTCCGACTTTATATTATTGAGTGCTCACAATTAAAACTAGAACGTGAGATTTGCACGAGGCTTTTTAAAGAATGCTACTCCGCATCCAAGTTCCTACTCCGGAACGAACTTTGCTTGAACCCTTTATTCACCAAAGACTCAAAACATTCATTAGTCGAGTTTGTCAATTTGTCCATCAAAATCAAAAGGCTCAACATCCTATCCTTCAAATATAGCATCAAATTCATATAGACTATGCATTATTTCTTTTTACCTCAGTAAAGACTAGCAGCATATGACTTATAGTCATACCTAGTGAAACCTGTAGATAGCATTATAGGATCGTGTGTTGACTTCTAATGAATGACGGTATTCCTACTAGTATAAGAAGATCAACATAAGTTTGCAAACATTTAAATCTCATTCCTTGATAGTCTCTCTGCCACTGGCTTAGGAAATCCTGAAAAGAAGAGTTGGGAGCTTATGTAATCAATTTTAAAAATCCACTCACACCCAAATTAAGATAGCATATGCTTTTTTAAGAGAGGATTAGTTTACTTTTAGATAACTATAGTTTACTTTTATGAGAGGTATACATTCATGGTGTATGCACCCATTTGTGTCTCCCCAAAACCAAACCCAATGATGAGTATCTTTAACATCAAATCATAATCGAATGAAGTGAGAGTGTGGAAAGTCTAGTGTTGTGGTTAGTTTTTATTTCTTTTCTTTCTCTCCGTTTTTAAAAACCTATTTTAAGAAAACAGCCAATCTAGTTTGGTTTTGTCCACGGAAAGGGTCTAATAATGGTGTAGCTGGATGGGGTTCGAAAATAGCTTTCCAACGATATATTATAAGCCCAATTCCGATGAATAAAGATGAAGTTATGGCCAAATTACTAAACTGGGCCCGGTTTGATATTTTTATGCGGCCCAATTGATATAGAGGAGGGCCTAATATTGACTTATCATTTCTAATGCAATTAGAATTGATTATAGACTTCTAGATTCTTCTAGAAGGTTCTTTTCATTCCTAATTTAAATAGCATTGTTAAATTGACTTTAGTTGACTTTTAAGAGTTTTAATCAGAATAAAAGAATGTTTTTTAAGGAAAATACGATTTTTCCCTTTCGTACGGCTAAATTTTATCAAATTAAGAAAACGCGTGGAAATCTATTTCTAGCGTCTAACGACAAGACCATCGCTTGGCACCATACTTGGCGTCTGGCGCTAGACCCGGCGTCTGGCACTAGAATCTAGCGTTTGGCGCCAAGCGCGTGTTTGACGCTGTAGTCGTGTTTTATTCTTTTAGAAACTATGACTCTTTTTTTATCATATCCGGCTGATTTTCTCTTTAAATAGACTCCTAAAACCTCCGTTTTCATTAATCAATTCTCAATTTTTCTCTACCAACTCTTATCATGAATCTCTTGATTACTCTCTCTCTCTCTCTCTCTTTTCTAAACTATCCTTTTACATACAAAACTCCGCATTCATAAGACCAAGAAACACCTAGCATTGTTCGAAGATATTTCTGAGGGTTTGTTCCTAAATCTTTCTTTCAATTATTTAATTTAATTGTTTGTTTATTATTTTCCTTGAAGTTAATGACGCG